TGTGAAGCCTGCACTCTGACCTAGCCTCGTAAGTGTCCTGAACTCATGCGGCTCCGGGACGTCTCCATAGTACAAAATGCAGACTGGCTGAATCTGGACTGATCCTGCATCATTCATGAAACTGGCTGGGCTAGGTCTAGGCATGGCACCAATACCATAGTGCCCTAGCTATGAGGGCACAGCCTGCTCTCTAGCCTAGCCATGTGAGTGACCAGGACCTGTGCCCTTCCAGGACAGTCTCACAGTCTCTGACATAAAAGGGCTGAAGCCGCCTAACCATCTACCTACTCTGGTACATGCTCATGGGCTGTCCCAACAACACCAACGCCATAGTGTTTAGGCAAGAGGCTTTGTCCTCAGTGCTGCCTAGCTAGTAAGCGAGATTCTGGAAATCCTCACATTTGTCTCAGGCATCTCTGTGGACAAGCAGCTGGCCCATCAGCCAAGTACAGTGACTGCCCAAGAGCCCCACCTGCCTTCACTTCCTGCTAGGTCCCCTGCCAAATTTGAGTCACACCGCCCAAGCACCAGGCCTTCCTGTTTAGTGGTCAGCATCGTCTTCACACCCTAAGATCTACTTCTGATGAAACACATTGCTAACCAGCCCAGCGTGACGAGTCTTCCAGACAGCTGCCTGTCTGTGGTTGAGCAGTCCAGACTGCTGAGTGTTTCAGAACCTGGCCTCCCTCACTGTCTTTCTAATTCCAGACCTAACTGGTGTCACAAATTCTGCTGAGCTCCCAGTAACGTCCCCTGCTGTAGCCACACCACCATTCTGTGGCATAGCTGGAGTCCATCACCCCTCCCTGGTGACAGCTCGCGATCTGGTGCAGCCTGGTCATCAGCCCTGCACTCAGCCATCTTCACACTGCCGGACCTAGCTGCTGTTACACAGTTTGCGCGGGAACCCAGATTCAAGAAACTTGCCTACCAGTTTGGATGCTCACCTTACTAGACATGAATGGAGGTGGGTGGTCCTTGGACTTCCCACAGGGCAGAGAACCCTGATTGCTCTTTGGGCTGACGAGGGAGGGGGACTTGATTGGGGGAGGGGGAGGGAAAGGGGAGGAGGCGGTGGGGAAGAGACAGAAATCTTTAATTAATCAATAAAGAAATAAATAAATTAAAAAAAATCCTGCAGCTGTCATATCAATACTTGCAACCTAGCCTTGCATCCACACCCTACACTCCAGCCCAGCCTGATGATAACGTGGACCCTCGCACTGCTAGGGCATGCTCACAGTCCCAGGCCCCCTTGGTGAGAGACCAAGACCCCACCCACCCACACCATCCTGACTGTTCCAGGCATAGTCCAATCCCAGGAGCTCCCAAACCAGCCAAGACTCGTTTTTGACCCAGATCCCTGCTCCTGTGAACCTCCTCAGAATGAGAGTGAGGTAGCAACTACATGCTCAGAGGGCACTTAACACAGCCAGGGGGACAATCCTGAGTCCCACCCTTCCCAACAATTACCACATCCACAGGCCTGCTGGGCGTTAAAAAGCTACTTCCCAAGCTGTTGCCCCCCTTTGCCATTCTCACGTTCCCCGTCAAGCCAGAGCCATCCTACCCAGAGAAATCAAGAACCAAAAGAAAAAAAAAAAAACAACTCTCCCAGAATCCCCCAAATCCCAGAACTAGGTGGAGTTAAGAAGCTGTTCCCCAGCACTGCCGTGCCAGTCAACAAGGCTGTCATTTCCTTCACACTCCTTCACAAGGCATGGCTGTGGTCAAGCAGCTTCCCCATCAGCCACTGAAGCTACTGTCCAAGAAGCCTGCCTGCCTTCACCTTTTCCAAGGTCCCACGCCAAATTTGGGTCATGTAAATCAAGTACCAGGGCCTCCCTGTTCAGTGATCAAAATTCCCACTCTGGTGTAATCCTACCACACCCAGGCCTAGTTCTGGTGAAGCCCAACACCAGTATAGCCTTGTAAGTCGCCCAGGTACCCTTTGGTGCCATCTTCCACTGCCATGTTCTAGTTGGGGATCAAGCAGCCCAGATACCAACCTAGACTAGCGAGTCTTCAGGATCACAATGTCCCATACCAAACCTGAATCCAGGCCTAGGAGTTGTGACAAAGCCTGCTGAGTTCCCAAGAACCTTGCCTGCCATAGCCAGACTCATAGTCCCTGGCCTACCTGAGGCCAGTCAGGTTGCTCATCATCCTAACCTGCTGAAAGCTAAAGATAGCATATCGCTGCTGTCAAACTAATATACCAAGGACCATCTTGGGGTTCAAAACCTGCACTCTAGCCCAACATGGCGACTGACCCTAACACGTGCACTTCCCGGACATCACTCTGGTCTCAGGGATATAATGGCTGAATCAGCCTGCCCACCAGACTACCCTGGGGAAAGATTAAAATATCTGCCCTGGTACACCAAACTCACATTTTTGGCCTAGCCTTACAGTTTTCCCACAAGGCAGTCCCTCCACATGGGTACCACGGTTCCCCAATCCCGCTGCTGTCAATAAACTTGGGCACTTGGCCTCACTGGTGAGATCCCAAGAACCCCATCTTTCAGAGGGCATGCCTTGTCTAGCTGCAGTCACAAACCTTGTGTACTATCTCAGCCTTTTGACTGACAATGACCCTCCACTGCTGACACAACCCCATGCCCAGCTGGCGTCAAACTGCATGGATACAGGGCCAGACTGGTTAGTCTTCAAGATCCTGTGCTCCCAAATCCTTTTTACATTGTTAGGCCTAGCTGGTGCCACACAGTTTGCATGGCAGCCCAGCTTGGTGAGTTCCCAAGAACCTCTAATCCGAAACAAACCTACTCTCTGGTCTAGCTGGGTTTGATAAAAACATGCCCCGTAGCAGTCTGGTGAGAGCTCAAAAGCTTGTAGTACTGCCAACACTCTTAGGCTTAGCTTGGGTCATGCAACCTGCACACACGCCAGCCCCCTGAGTGACACAGGACACAGTCCTCTGTGCTGTCCCTGCATTCTCAGGCCCAGGTGAGTTCAAGCTACCCAGGCACCTGGAAGCCAGACATATAAACCATTAGGACCCTGTTCCCACATACCCTCCTCACAATCCCAAGCCTGGCTTGGCCCACTCAACTTGACCACCATCGTTGCCTTAACCTTGTCCATCTATTCCATTCCCACAGTCCGACCCTGGAAGGGGTCAGGATGAACTTGAACCACACCTGGCTGCGGAGGGATCAAGACCCTGCATTCCTAAATCATCTCTGCACTGACAGGCCCAGCCAATGGCACTCTGCTCAGACAGTGGTGCAGCTTGGTGAGTTCTCAGGAGCTTCCTTGTCTGCTTGAATCATCATGCTATTCCCTGGTGTGTTTGGGTTCAATAGGAACGTGCCATCCCCGCCCAGTAAGAGCTCAAAATCCTGCAGGTAATCATACCAATATTTTCTGCAATAGCTTGAGAGGCACTGCCTACACTTCAGGTCAGGCCGATGAGTGGCCAGGACCCTTCCACTGCTAGAACATTCCCACAGTCCCTGGCTCCTCTAGGTGAGGGATCAGGACCCCGCCCTTCTGTACCATTCTCACAGTCCCAAATATAGCCCAACTGCTCAAGCAGTTCCCAAACCAGTCAAGACTCTTCTGTGTTCAGACCTCTACTCTCTTGTGCATGCTCAGAACGGTAAATAACAACTACAGGCTGCCTATACACCAGCAGCACCACAGGTACTAGCTAGGGTCAAAAAGCATAGTCTGTGAATGATCATGACCTTTGCACTCCTGAGCCATTCTCAGGGCTCCTGACCCAGCCAGGGTCAAGTTCCATGCTTACTGCCAAACTCTAATGAGTGATCAAGACCCGACTCTTCCCAAGCATCCTAATGACCCCAAAACTGATAAGGGTTGAGATACCTGGTCATAACCACTGCCTAGCCAGTGATCAAGACTTCCCCGACAACTATCACACTCACAGGAATAAGTGTGGTCAAAATGATGCTCCCAAGGAAAGCATGGTGATTGTGCAAAATTGCCTCATATCTTCATCGCCCCCAAGATCCTACACTAATATTGGGTCACAGCCCTGAGTACCTGGCCTCCCTGTTAAGAGATCAAGATTCCCACCCCAGTGCGTTCCTCACATGCTGAGAACTAATTCTCGTGAAGCAGATTGGTGACCGACACAGCTTGCTGAGTTCCCAAGAGCTACGCCTGCCTGCGCTATCCCCTAAGTCCTGATCTACCTAGGTGCGAGCAGAATATACACCATCCCAGCCTTGTGAGAGGTCAAAGTCCCACGGGTATCATAATACTTTCAGGCCTAACTTGAGAAATTCAACTCACACATCAGCCAACCCTGGTGAGTGACCTAGACCTGTGCACTGCTAAAGACATCCCTACAGTTCCAGGACCTTCTTGAACTGTCCTTGCGGTCCCAGGCATAAGTCCACTCCATTGCTCCTGAAGCAGCGAAGCCTCCCCTTGTGACACAGATCCGTGCCCTCTTGCACCAACCTAGAATTGAAGTGAGGTCACAAACATAGCCTCACTGTACCACTCCAGCCAGGGGAATGACCCCAAACACCACCCTTCCCAAATTACCAGATTCCCAGGGCAAACTCTAGTTTTTAAAAAGCCTGAATACAAGCGGAGCCTGCCAATGAGCCCCACCTTTGCACTCCGTGTCCCCCTTCATGGTTCCAGACTGAACCTGCCAATGAGTCCCAGTTTTGCACTCCGTATCATCCCATGGTTCCAGGTCCACCTGGGGTCAAGCCACACTCTCACCAGTTTTACTCTGGTGAGTGCTAAAGACACAACTCTCTGCCTGCATCTTAACAGTTCCAAAACTAGATGTGGTCAAGAAGCCTGGTCACCAGAGCTACCTAGCCAGGAAATCCCTCCCTGACAATCCTCACACTCCCCGCCATATCTTTGGTCAAGAAACTTGCCCATCAGCCATGTATAGTGATTGCCCCTGGTCCCCACGCCAGTATCTGGTCACACAGCATGAGTAAAGAGCTTCTGTGGCCTGTCGCAGCCGCCATGGGAGAGGAGCAGCCATGGCCCTGCGCTACTCCATGGCCATGGGCCTCAACCAGTTCCACAAGGTGACGAAGAACGTAAGCCAGCTGAGGCACAGCCGGCGGTGCAGGCGCCTCACAAAGCACACCAGGTTCGTGCGGGACATGATCCGGGAGGTGTGCCCGGCGCGGCGCGCCATGGAGCTGCTCAAGGTGTCCAAGGACAAGCGCGCGATCAAGTTCACCAAGAAGCGGGTGGACACCACGCACACATGCGCCAAGAGGAAGCGGGAGGAGCTGAGCAAAGCACTGGCCACCATGAGGAAGGCGGAGGCCAAGAAGGACTGATCCCCTCCCCGTTCTCAATAAACGTTGCTGTGGCAGAAAAAAAAAAAAAAGAGCTTCTGTGTTCAGAGCTCAAGTCTCCTGCTCCAACACCATCTTCACACCCCCATCCTGGTTCTGGTAAAGCAGATAGCTGACCAACACAGCCTGATGATGCATTCCCCCCGTACCCCTGCACTCTGGTGCCTGCTGAAGTTGGGAAGTACTAAACACCTGCCAGGACCTTGATATCCCACAGCATCCTTAGACTTCCAGGCCTAACTGCAGTCACAAAGTCATTTGTGTTCCCCAGAGCATCACCTGCCATTGCGAACTCCCATCCCCAGGCCTAGCTGGGGTCAACTATATTATTGAATGTCATCCCACCCTGATGTGAGTCCACGATTGCGTGCTGCTGGTGAGGTACTAATACGCCCAGGCCTAGCTTGAAGGCACAGACAGCCTGCACTCTATGGCAGCCCGGTGAATGACCTGGATCCATGTACTTCCAGGGCATCCCCATAGTTCCAGGCATAGAACGGCTGAAGAAGCTAGACCATCCGACTGTCCCAGTGAGGAAGCAAACCTGGCCTTTGTTGGGTCCCTAGAAGACAGGCCTTCACACCCCACTTAATCTGTTTTGCACTCTTGCAGTTGGTTAAAAACAGGATTTAGAGAGGGCAGGGCTGATCATAGCTCCTAAGAAGGTACAAATGCAAGCCCCATATTCCTACCTTGGGTACCAATTGGCCACGGATGGAATTAAACCAAAAAAAATAACTATTGACCCCTCTCATCTTAAAACCTTACATGATTGGCAGCAGTTACTGGGAGACATACAAAACAGATCAAGTGGGGGTGCAGAGGACTGTCCTCTAGGGACCCAACAGCCTTCACACAGCATCCGCACACCTGAGCCTAGTCAGGGTCACACAGCTTTCCCTAAAGTTAGTCTCGTGAGTGATGCAAAATCCTGCCCCTCTGCGCAGATACCACATTCCCCGTGCAGAACTCTTTCTCGCTGAAATCTAAAGAGCCACCCCTGTCGAAGGAATGGCCTTGTCTTGCTGGAGTTAGTCAGACTGTGTGCCATGCCACCCAGATGCAAACTCAAATCCTATCCCGCTGTTGTCAGAACATCCCAGGATCTAACTGGTGTCATGTTGCCTGACCAGCTAATCCTTGAGCGACCCTGACCCCTAACCTATTATTGTATCCCCACATGCCTAGGCATGGCTGATTTTAAGTGACAGAAATACTCATAAACAAGACTGTCCTCACACACCCTTTGTATTCCGGAAGGCCTAGCAGGCATCACACAGTTTGCACAGCAGCCTAACTTGGTGAGTTCTAAGAACCAGGCCTGCCTGAGACATCCTGCTTCTCTCCCTGGCCTAGCTGGGGATGATCAGAATGTGCCCCATCACAGCCTGGTGAGAGCACAACATTGCCCAGGTGTCCTACTAACATTGTTAGGCCTAGTTTGAGATGCCCAGGATGCATTTACGCCCAGCCTAGTGAGTGACCTGGACCTGTGCACTGATAGGACACCCCAGCCATCTCAGGCACCCCTTTGGTGACGGATTAAGACTCCAACTTCAGCATCAGGGTGTGGTAGTGCATGCCTTTAATTCCAGCACTTGGAAGGCAGTGATAGGCAGATCTCTGTGAGTTCGAGGTTCGAGTTCTACAGAGGGAGTTCCAGAACAGTTCCAAAGCTACACAGAGAAACCCTGTCTCGATAAACTAAAACCAAAACCAACAACAACAACAAAAAAAAGGACTCCAACCTCCTGCATCATGTTCAAAGTCCCTGACACAGCCTTACTCCAGCAGTTTCCAACCAGAAAAGATTCCTTAGTGACTGAGTCCCCTGCCCTACAGTAGCTGCACAATGGGAGACCTCAGTCACACACTGACTATGCACTACTCAACCCTGTGAGCGACCCTGAAAAGATCCTTCACCATCATTACCACATTCCCAGGCCTACCTGGGATGAAAAGAAAAATGCCACCATGCAAGCTGAGCCTGTGTGTCATTCCAACTTTTGTCCTCCTGTGCCATTCCCACAGTTTGAGTTAGGGTCAAGCTGCCCACCCTGATCAAGACCTAATTCTACCCAGTCACACTAACAATCACAGCAGCTAGCCCACCAGCCAAGGGTAATAATGTCCCCAAAGCCTCACCTGCCTTAACCCCCATCAAGTTCCCACACCAATATTTGGCTCACATAGCCTGGGTATCAGGCCCCTTTTCAAGAGTTAAAACTACTGCCTCCGCGCCTTCCTTACTGGAGATCTAGTTTAGGTGAACCAGATCACTGACCAGCACAGCAGGTTGAGACCTTCAGAACTGCTGACCTCAGGTGCCATCTCTACTGCCCAATGCCTTGCTGGGATCAAAAAGGTCAGACAGTAGCCAAAACTGGTAAATGTTCAGGATCATGGCTTCCCCCCAAATCTCTGAGACCTAACTGTCAAAAGGCTGCTGAGCACCTGCTGTAGCCAGAAAACCAAAACCTGACCTAGATGGAGCCAAACATATCATGCACTATCCCAGTCTATTGCAAGGCCAAAACCCTCCTGTAATAAACCAAAGCCTAGCTTGAGATACACAGCCTGCACTAGAACCCAGCCTGGTGAATGACTCAGACTCGTGCAATTCCAGGATATCCTCACACATACTCTCAAAACACGTACTCTCAAAGAATGACTGAAGTACACTGGCCACCAACCTACCCTTGTGAGGGTCCTGCCCTCATGAACTATCTCCATACTCCCAGACCTAGTCTGGGTACCACAGCTTTCTCAAGCCAGTCAGGTGTATGAGCCAGAATCCAACTCCTTTGAACTGATACCATACTCCTAGACCCAGCTGATGTCAGCTAACCTGGGCACTACCACTGCTGACTGGTGAGATCTGAAGAACCTAGCCTGCCTGACCTCTGTCTTGACTAGTTAGTCATCAGACTCTGCAACCCAGCCTGGTTAGGACTCAAAACGCCTAACCCAGTGCTGTCAGTATACTTACTCCCAAGGCTTAGCTTGAGTCGCTCAGCTTGTACCTGCTGTAGAATAATCCTTTTGCTCACTGTGAAGATGTATTCCTCTCATTATTAATAAAAAAACTGACTAGCTTATAGCTTGGCAGGAAGAGATTGGGTGGAAAAGACAGGCTAGGAGGACACTGGGAAGAAGGGCAGAGTCTGAGGACTCCTGAACGAGATGCAGAGGAAGCAGGAGATATACATGTCATACTGAGATAAGGTATTGACACATTGCAGAGCATAGATTAAAAAATATGGAATAATTTAAATTGTAAGAGCTACCTAGTAGCAAGCCTAAGCTACCGGTCGAGTATTTACAATTATTATTAAGACCCTGTGGTCATTTGGGAGCTGGTTGGTGATCCCCACAAAAAAACTCTGCCTACATGTACTCAAGGCAGCTGTGTAAGTGAACCAGACCCTTGCCCTCTTGTGCTATCCTCACATTGCCAGGCCGACCTGGACTCAAGCAGCCTGGACACAAGCCCAGACTAGTAAATGATCAAGTTCCTGCCTTTATACACATCCTCACAGTCCCCAGCCTAGTTTAGCACACAGACCTTACCTGCTCTCTTAGCCTTGTGAGTAAGTGCAAACCTTGCCGACACCCAAACCCATCTAAGTTCAAGATACATGGGTATCAGACCAGACTGGCAAAGTCCCTGTACTCTTGTCTCAGAGTTTCTACTGATGCAATGAAACATGGCCAAGAAGCAGGCTGTGGAGGAAACGATTTATTTGGCTTACACTTCATCATTTTTGTTCATCAAAGGAAGTAAGGACAGGAACTCAAACAAGACAAGAACCTGGAGGCAGAGGCCACAGAGGGGTGTTGGTTACTGACTTTCTTCTTATGGCTTGTTCATCCTGCTTTCTTATAGAATCCAGGACCATCAACCCAAGGATGGCACCACCCACAAGGGGTTGAGCCCACCCCCATCAATCACAAATTAAGAAAATGCCTTCCAAGCCTGCCTACAACCTATGACCTGATTTTATGTGGAGGCATTTCCTTCACTGAGGTTTCTTTCTCTCAGGTGGCTTTACCTTTTGTCAAGTTGACATAAAACTAGCCAGCACAACTCTCAAAACACTTTTAGACTGATTGGCATAGATGGCCTCACAGAATTTGCACAGCAACCCAACTTGGTGAATTACCAAGAACCTTGCCTGCCTAAGTCATCTTCCAAGCCTCTAGAATACCTGAGTTCAGTCAGAATGTGTCCCAGCCCCTCCTCATAAGAGTTTAAATTCCCTCACTGTTCTACTAATAGTTCCAAGCCTAACTTTACACATACAGTCTGCACTCAAGCCCATCCTGGAGAGGGGCTGGGATCCTTCAACTACTGGGACATCACCAAGTTCTCAGGCCCCTCTTGGAGAGAGGTCAAGACCCCGCCCTCCTGCACCATCCTGACAGCTCCAGGCACAGTCCCAGTCCAGCAGGTCCCAGACCAGCCAAGACTCCTTTGTAACCCAGCTCTTTTTTTTTTCACCTGCTCACAATGGGAATGAACTTACAAGCACAGGCTGGTTGTGTACCAGCTCAACCAAGTGAGTGACCCCCAAACCCTAACCTTTCCCATCATAACCACACTCTCGGGCTTAACTGGGGTCAAAAATTCTGCACAGAAGCTAAGCCTGTGAGTGAGGTGAAGTGGCTTGGTCACTAACCCTGCCCTAGCCAGTTCTCAAGATTCTCCTTTCCCTGGCAATACTCAAAGTCCCAGGCATAGCTGTGTCAGCTTTCCTTAGAGCCAAATACATTGATTGCCCATGATGCCACCTGCCTTCACCTTCCCACAGTCCCATGGCAATATCGGATCACACAGCCTGAGTACCAGGCCTCCCTGTTCAGTGACCAAGACTTCTGCTCTAGCGCCATCCTCACACCCCCTGTTTGAGGCATAGTTTGTGTGAAGAATATCTCTGACAAACACAGGGTGGTCAGTCTCCCAGAACCTTGCCCTATGGTGC